TAAAGTTTTAAGTCTAAAATCTTTAATGTGATTGATGTAGCTCTTTGTTACCTGGCTCCAAATCAATCTGTGTTTTGTTCAAAGCTCTTCCTTTAACCTACCTTGGCCTGATTTAAATACTTCAAGTGTGCCAAGTTCTCGATTCCTTTTGAACCTCTCTAGGAGCAATCTATCCCCCTCCCTTCAGCCCAACCTCTTTGCCTCCAATTCTCAGCTTAGATGGTTATTTCCCCAAGGAAAGAAGACTTTTTCTTTCCTCCAAATGAGGATATGAGGATATACTGTTTGTTCTGTGTTCCCACCAGTCCTCATTATTCTCTGACATAAAGCTGCTGTGCTGCTGTCATTTCCTTTGCTGAACCAAAACTTCCCTAAGGGCAGGGACTGCCCACCTTGTTTACCTTTTATGAACAAATGTCACTCCAATTCCATTTCAATGGCTCTCCTTCCTTTAAAAGTCAGATGAGAGCCAACAACACGGACTTTCCAGACAGTGAGTCTTTGAAAATGGCTATATCAAAACAGAACTCCTATCATTCTCCATCCTTTAAAGCTAAGAATCAAAACAAAACAAACTAAAAGCAAAACCAAATCTCTTTGACACTAAAGGGAATAGGGTTTGTGTCTAGATAACTTTTCAGTGGTAAGGGTTAGTACATCTCTTCTTATTGGCATCTTGATATCAGTAAATTTTATCTGCCTTAAAGTTTTAAGATTCCAGCATATTTCTACCAGAAGTTAGAAATTATATTTTTCGTCACCTAATACTGAATCATCAATCTGAGTCACACAACAAACCACTGAGTCACTTCTTCTGGCAGGAAGTGTAAAGCAGTGCTGTAGGGACTTAGCAATACCTCTCACAAAACCAAAGTTAGAGCCAGCGGTCCTGACCCTGGCCATGGATTGTTCAGTTCAACTTCTCAGACTAATGTGTCAGCTTCCTCCTTCATCTCAAACTTGGAGGTTGGTTGGCAAGCAAAACTACAAAGGTTTTCAGGCATGGACAGAAAAAAAAATTGCATTTGCATTCAGTTTCTTTTTATCCATGTTGTAATTCTGGGAAGACTGGTATCTTCTTTAAATGTTCTCGAAATAAGCATGGAGGAATAAGGGGCACACATGTCATAATGGTGACTGTGTTCAATGTGACAACCAGACCAGGACAGAGTGCAGACTTACACAGATGAATTACTATCTTCCTAAAGGGACCAAAATCTATCCTGTGGGTGTGAGACTTGGGAAAGGAGATCAGCATTAGCATGGAGGGAAGCTGTGGGGAAAGTGGCCCTGGGTTGCTGGGTGCCAGGTGCCAACATTAAGCCCTGACTTGTTTTAAGGCCAACTCAATCCTGGTGGGAAAGCTTGATGACAAGAAATGTCTTTATATCAGGCAACTGTTTACAGGCTAGAAGTAATTTGGGAGGCAATATAGTGAGTGTTCAATTAAGAGATGGAGTAGAAAAAAACCAAAATACCCACCCCTCTATGGTCTGAATGTTTGTGCTCCCCTCTCCAGTTCATATGCTGAAGCCTAATTAACAACAGGGTGGGGACCTTCGGAGATGATGAGACCCTGAAGGCTGAGCCTTTATGCATGAGGCCATACAGAGCTGACTGCTTCTTCCCTTTCAGTATGCAAGGACACCAAGAGAAGATGCCATCTATGAACCAGGAAATACCAGACATCAAATCTATTGGCACCTTATATTGGACTTCCCAGCCTCTAGAACTGCGAGAAATGAATTTCTGTTGTTTATAGGCTACTCAGTCCATGGTATTCTGTTATAGCAATCTTAATAGACTAATAGAGTGCTGGTCATATGTGCGTTAGAGTAGGTTCTCCAGTAAAATAGTGCAAAAGAGGGCAGAGCCAGCTCGGACTGGTATGTGTAGGAGAACCATGGTACCTGCTTTTCAGGTGAGCAGAAGGAGTAGAGGTGTCCAAAAGAACTTTCCTCCATCAGTGAGACTTCAAGTTCCCTTAATAGCACTTACTCATGTAGCTGACTCTCCAGCTTGGGCTGAAACCAAGCTGGTACAAAAGACGTTTTTCCAGGACAGGATGCGCAACAGATATCTCTGTACCAAGCCAGGTCACAATTAAAAATTTTTAAGTAAACCTGACAACTAAGAATCTTTGCAAAAAGGCAACTTGTCACTCTTAAGCCTGGACAAAAACTCCTCTCTCAAAATTCTCCTTGCTTCAAGCACTCATCTGGCTCTGTGGCCATGACCTGAAGGAGGTCCCTGTGCTCCTCCTCTTCCCTTCTCAGACAATTCAGCCCAACAGTCATTAGGTGTTGCCTGCAGTGGGGGTGGGAGAAGCTACAGTGGCCTAGAGGGATGTGCCAATGCAGGTGGGCAGAGCACAACAGTGACTCCCTAGGGAGGGTTGGAGCCCAAGTGGGCTAAGGAGGTAGTGGTGAAGGGGTGGGCAGGGGCCATCCAGAAAGTGATGTTGGTACCGAAGTTTGAAGAGGAAAATGGGCGACTGGCTATATGGTGGGAATGGGGGATGAACCAAGTAATGAACATATTGAGGATAACTGGAATAATCAAAGCATTTTGTTATCAAGAAGGAGGCTATAAATATGGAAAGGAAGGAAACATGAATGAATCTTGTACCAGAATAGAATTAAAATATCTCAGAGTTAACTTGGGGTTCGATAGATAGATAGATCGATGGATTGATCTTTAAATCTGTCCACTGAGGGTACCTGGGAGCAGCGACAATTCGCTGAGCACACCTGATACCCAGACCTTGGATTCTAAATACCATTCTTTGCTAAAAGAAGCAAGTGCTCTTTGAAGATATGCATGATTTCAGGGTCGGAAAAGCATTCGATGAAACTAGAACATCCTTAAAAGGTGATGCTCAAAGAATGAGGACATCTCAAAAGGACACTGAAGTTAGCCTGAAAGGACTCTCGTGAGAGCTTTCTGAACAAACTGAGGATAAAAACAAGAAATAGACGAGCCCAGCGTGCTGGCCCACACCTGTAATCTCAGGAGGCTGAGGCAGGAGGATTGCAAGTTCAAGGCCAGCCTCAGCAACTTAGCAAGGGCCTAATCAACTTAGCGAGACCCTGTCTCTAAGTAAAAAATAAAAAGGGCTGGGGATGTGGCTCAGTGGTTAGAGTGCCCCTGGGTTCAATCCCTAGTGCCAAAACAAAACAAGAAATAGATGATAAATTATTGAATGTAATACTTTTCCATAAGACCACACTGACATATAAGTAATAGATTTAACATCTGAGAGGAGCGGGGAAAAGAATCAAAGTATCTCCCACAATGGAAATGAAAAAAGATATCTTTACCGTGTAGAAGCCTCGCAGCTTCTCCCTCACCGAAGAGATCAAAAATAATATAAAATGAGGGCTGGAGAGACGGCTCAGTTGGTAGAGTGCTTGCTTCACATGCACAAGGCCCTGGGTTCGATCCCCAGCACCACCAAAATAAAAATCATAATATTAAATGATCAGAACTAAAAGCTGCTCCCGACATGGGACACACTACTACAGCTACTACCTATTTGGAGACAGTGAGGATGCAGCACCAAATATGTGGTGTTCTTACCAAAGATGCACACAACCTGAATGTCATCATGGGAAAGGCCCAAACTGAGGGGCATTTTACAAAACTGGGGTTCACAGGGCATCGTGTTGGCAATCTACTCTTAGAAACATGTTTGTACTTGGGGATTTTTCTTAAGGTTTGAAGTGGTTTCGAAGTTTAAAAATCAATACTGAAGAGTGGCTTTGCGTCTTAACAGATGTAATGGAAGCCAAGCGTCAAGATGACTTAAGATCTGGGTGGACAATCTTACTTTAAAGTAATGCTTCTAAAATTATCTCTGGCAAAGGACCCATCCCTCCCGCCCCCAGTCCGTTGTGGACCAATATTTTTGTAAATACGAAACCCCACATTTGGATTTCAGGACGATAGAAAATTGCTGCAGGAGTTTTCAAATGCTGTATCTATCAATGTCTGCACTGATCTCAGCATGGACTGGTGACATAGGAGCAGCTCTTCTCTAAGAAAAACTGCATGGGTCCCCAATTCCCATCAAATTCACATGCACTGTTACCCATAACAGGAGCAACAACAATTACCCTAACTAACATCAACCACCTACACCAGTTATTCGAGAAAAGGACTGTGGAGGGTGGGGGTGGGGAAAACAACAGGAGGAGACTGAAGGCCAGCCTTTGCTTACCCTAACTCAATCCCTCTAAATAGGATGAGACCACTCCGGGTTCCAAAGTACAGGCATGCATCCTGTAGGGTCAGGGAACACATTCTGAGAAATGCACTGTTAAGTCACCTCATCCCTGTGGGAACATCATAGAGGGTACTGACCCCAAGAAACGGCTACAATGTCACCAGGTGATAGATACTCGTGGAACCACCATGGCACATACCAGTCTGCTATTGACCGTCATCAAGCTGTTCACGCCTATAACTGGTTTGTGGTGACGTAAGAGAAGTCAAATCCGATCGCCCAGAAAATGGAGAGAGACGTCCTCCATGGGTCAGTCTGCAACACTGACTGACCCTAGGACTGCTAGGGAGGGACCCAACACCCCTGAGGGTTAGCAGAGCACGTCCCCCCCAAATCGAATAGGTTTGATTTCATTCAAGTCATTGAAGGTCAAGCTACTGACTTCATGCAGTCCACAGGTGGGCCCACCCTGACGGGTTCTGTGCCATATACGACCCGATCCCTGCCAAGAGGCCGCCCCTCCAATAACAGAAAACGATTTTGTGTAATAAGCCAAGGACAAGATGGAACCACAGGCGAGGAGCTACCACCTCTGCTGGGAAGTGGGAGACACCATCAGGGCTCCAGGTTCCTCCAGAGGGCACTCTGACCCCCCTGGCACCGAGAGCCTCATGCCAGTGCCCCCTGCCACACGCGCAGCGGAGGCTCCACACCGAAAATCCCATGTTGAATCAGATTCCCGCGTGTCCAAGTGCAGGAGGCAGCCTCCACTTACCTGGGGCGGTTTTGTAGCCGGACGTGGTTCGGGAGGGCAGCGACGGGGCGTTCCTGGTCCTGGGGCTCGGTGCGCTCTGCAAGACTTGTCTCTGCCGCTTCAGCTCCTCCTCCCTCTCCTGGGCTGCTCGGATCTCTTCTTCGATCATGGACAACGTCCGCTGCTTCCTTGACCTCAACTTGAAGGGCCCAACCATCACGTCGGATTCTTGAGTGGCCAGGAGGGAGGCTGTGCTTCTCAGCTCGGCAGCCTCCGAGTACTTGCTGAAATAGCCCCCCTCGGGCCTGGTCTCCTCCATGTTGACTGGGCCACTGGGCTGCACGGTTGGTGGTAGCTGGGAGGGCCCCCTTTCCCTGAGAGCCCTGTCCTCTGAAGGCAGAATCTTTGGTAATACATCCCTTTTCTCTTGAACAGGAGAGGACACTTGAGGTGGCTCAAACATGCTCTGGGGCTTCTCGGGGCCAGCAGCTCCGGTTTCAGCTCCCTCGAGGGCTGTGTCAGGACTCCCCTGCTCTGCTCCGGGCTTGCTGGCCTGGGGCGCGGCCTTATCCACCTGCTCGGCTATGGCTTGTTGAATGGCATTCTGCACCAGGAGACCAGCCTGATATTCCAAGGACTCATCCACCGACGGGGAGTCCCCCAGTGTGGAGGACGGGGAATAGAAACCGTGATCGCTAAATGACTTGGAGACGCCCTCTCGGCCCTCAGAGGGATTGTCTGTCTGTGGAGTCTGAGGCAGAGAGAAGTCAGCCAGGGAGTTTTCCTGGAGGGCATTGGTTGTCTCGTTGGACGCCCCACTGTCACTGATGTTGTCCATGCTGAAGTCGTTGGACAAGGTCTCCAGGACCGTGGTGTCCTGGGATCTCACCGACAGCTCATCCAAACCTGAGTCAAGCTCCTCTTGGGTCAAAGAGACATTGACCGATCTCGAGAACTGATCCAAAATGCCGTGCTCATCATCCTTGACCACGGTGAGGACGGCCCGGGCGCTGGTAAACTCACTGTCCTCGGCCCACAGTTTAGATAAGGGCCCGCGTTTGGAGGGCTCGCTGTAGGGCCCTTCCTTTCCCTGAGGGGCGGTGCTGCCAGGGCCTCCTCCCGCCGACTGGCTCTCCAGCGCACCGGGGGCTTTCTGCCCCTGGGCTGCAGACACGCCACTGTCCTCTGGAGCCACCCCAATAGAAGCCGGTCTCAGGATGGTCGGGGGTTTGTCAGAGTGGAGGGACCCCAGAGGCCTGTAGAAAGGCTTGATGGAGAACAGCCGGGGTGTACTCTGGCCCTTGGCCCCCGTCTGCCTGGAATTCTCCATCAGCTGGAACTGTTTGCGAGCGGCAGAGAAGTCAATCTGTTCTGTGACAATGTCCTCCTTTTCAGTCCCGCCTGGGCGTTCTTGAGTGGAAGCAGGGGCTGTGCAGAGCTCTGGAGGGGGCTGCTGCTGCTCCTGCTGGGCCCTCCTCTCCTTGCGCTCCTTGTACTTTTTGTGCGACTCCAGGTGTTCCTCGTCCAGCTGTTCCTCGATGGTCTTCTCCTGCGGGGGATTCCACCACTTGGCAGCGATGCCGGGATTCTTCTTCACCGCCTGACTCCGGATGAGCTCTCTCCTCTCCTTCTCCAGCTCCAGCATCTCCTCCGAGGGCCTCACCTTCCTCACACAGAACTGCTCCTTCTCACGCTCGTCCTCCTCGAAGAGCTTGGAGGGCTTCTTGTCTTCGTGGAAGGCGCGCAGCTCAAACTTGGCCTCCTTCTTCAGGGTGGTGAGCGTGAACTCCCCGTCTCGGGAAGAACCGCGGGAGCTGGTGGAGGAGCTGGGGCTCGCAGGGGCCTGCAGACTGTCCCCTAGCGTGTCCCGCGGCTGGTCGGGGGGATGGCCATTCACTCTTGCCCTCTCGGCCATGGTGTCAGAGGGGCTTGTGCTGAGCTCAATGTGCGGGGGGGCCTGCCTGCCCGCGGCTCCTTCGGCAGGTTCCGGCTGGGTGGCTGGGTGGGCTGGTGGGCTCAGGCTGCCCACCAGGGTGGCCGCACCAGGCTCTGGGGAGGATGTCCCGTTGTAAGTTCCATCCACCGAAGAATCACAGCAGTTGGCCTCCAGCACCTCATCTAGATATCGGATCTCTCTGGCCACATCATTATCCAGGGACTCATGGTGATCAGAGAGGAGGCCATTGTGAGGGGGTGAATAGAATGGGGAGGGGTGGTCTATGGAATGGGGGGTGGAGGTGATTCCAGGAACGCTTTTACATTCTGTAACAGACACCTCAATTTCCATGTTTTGGTGATCTGAGGGAAGAGGTCTAGGAGCAGGCTCCAAGAGATTGGCACGACAGCTGTCTCTCTCGGTTTTCAGCTGGATATCATCCTCAGAAAGCTGCGGGGGCTTCTAGAATAAAGAGAAAACAAAAGTCAAGGTTAAATATTGCTTCTCTTAGGTATGTGACTGCTGAGTCGTGCATTCAGGAAGGAAAACTGAAACAACAACGGCAAGTGTTCTTAAGTAGAGATCTCCCTCCCAGTAATACCTCAAATATTAATTTTGTGGTGGGAACAGGTGCCTAACCCTCTCGAATTTACAGATTCCATCTTGTTTAGTGGATGCTCAATGGATGGTGGCTCCATTTTTAAATTTGATCTCCTAACTTGGAAAAGGTTACATAATTGATGCACCACAGTCTTCTAAAATAGTTCATAGCCTTTGTCATGGGGCTATGTACATGTCCCAGGTTATAAAAAGAAGGTCTTTTTTTTGCATGAACAAGTCTTAAAAACACCATTCTCTGCCAGAGACAAGGAACTTTTTGGAAAATCATTCCATAATAAAATACTAAAAAACAGTAGATCCCTTCAGTGGCCCTTCTCAGCTAGAGTGCCCCACTGCTATGGCTGTAACTGACCGTGTGCATTAAACACCACAACCAGAGCCACTGTCTACATAGTTCTGTTCTCAGGGGCTGCATCAAAACAATACTCCTTAGTGGACTGTTGTTTGGAGAGCCAGTCACGACCCCTGGCACCTCCCCTCTGGTTTCTAAAATGCTTTGTATTTGATATCTCCAATTTGTGGTTGGGTAAGAAAATCCTGTCTTCTTGATGCGGTTTAGTTGTAAATGCATCTTTTATCTTATTTATTTATATGTGATGCTGAGGATGGAACCCAGGGCCTCATGCTTGCCAGGCAAATGCTCTACCACTGAGCCACAACTTTAGCCCCTCTTGATGCATTTTTAAACATGTCATAGCTCTCCATCAGTTATTGAGCTCATTCATGGAGTTGGTTATTTGACACTATTTTAGTAAGAGTACTTTTTAAATTCATGATTTCTTTTTTTTTTTTCCCCACATCAAAGGACTCGGGTTTATCTGAGAGAATTCTAGCAATAAATTATGAACTTGAATTGAGCTCCCCTCAAGGATTTCCTTAAACCTTAGTCAGCTTTGTTTCCTAGGGTGTACTGGTACTACTGACGTGGTACAATGCAAAACTCTCAAATAGTACAATTTTTCATTTATTTAAGTTTTCAACAATTTTAAAGGCTTAGATTGTAATATTAAAATACCGCCTTATGATGATTCTCAGGGAATAATTACAAAATTCTTCCAGGAAAAGTGGTAATTAAAATTTTATTTCATGAGGTCTAAGAGCTTGAGCATTCATTCTATGTCCAGGATTGCAAAACTCTAATAACTATGCAGAAACTGGGGACCTCCTTCACTTACCACATTCTCCTTCAAACTTGAATCAATCAAGTAGCATGCATTTTTTTGCTAGTAACAGGCAACAATAAAAGCTATTCCTTCTTTGTCAATACCTTTTGATTATTTTTAATTTTTCTCGTAGTTGTAGATGGACAGAATGCCTTTATTTTGTTTATTTTCATGTGGTGCTAAGGATCAAACCCAGTGCCTCACACATGCTAGTCAAGCGCTCTACCACTGAGCTACAGCCCCAGCCCACCTTTTTGATCTTTGATGTTCTTCCAGAATTAGTTTGGCCTTTTTAAGATTTTCCAAAAAGTTCCTTGTCTTGTACTTAATGACTCTAATCACTAAGGTCTTTATTTATTTTTTTAAAGGTACACACACACACACGTGTATGTTGTTGATGGATCTTTATTTTATTTGCTTATATAAAGGTACTGAGAATCAAACCCAGTGTCTCACACATGCTAGGCAAGCGTTCCACCACTCAGCTATAACCTCAGCCAAGGTCTTTATTTTCGATCATTATAACTAACGGTTCTTTTATTTTAGAAAGAACTAAAGATGTCTAAGAAGGTTTTATTGCCCCTTTAAAACCACTGAGCTAGCTGTTCACAGTGGTGCATGCCTATAATCAATCCTGGACCAAAGAGGCTGAGGTGGGAGGATCATAAATTTGAGGCCAGCCTTTACAATTTATGGAGACTCTGTCTCCAAATAAAAAATAAAAAGGGTAAAAAGGGCTGGGAATGTATCTCATTGATAGAGCACCCTTGAATGCAATCCCTTGTACTGAAAAAAAAATTTTTTTAGTAAAATTAAACCTCGCACATGTGAGCCACTGGGTTTGATCCTTACCACCACATAAAAAACAAATAAATAAAGATATAAAATAAAACCACTGAGCTAAACTATGTTTTGGTAAGAAAATTATCAGTAACTTCTCATAAGTCATTAAGAATTACAAAAAATCTGGATGCCTGAAACACACTGGCTGACATTCAATTTCAAGTCAATCTAGGCCAACATGAACCGGTTCCCTGTACAGTTATTACTGGAACAAACAGGCCAACCAGGAGCCACACAGGTCACGTTGCCCTTAACTCCAGCTTCATCTGGCCACGAATTCATGGGAAAGCAGTTTTCCCTCTACCCTTTCAGCTTTGGCAGGTGGGGGTTAGGAAACAGCAGGAAGCTACTGGGATTGACATGTGGTTGAAAAATCACTGCTCCTACTGAAACACAAAACACTTCAGAATAGTTGAGGAAGGGAAGGAGGAAAATGTGGAGGGGACAAAAGGCAAATAATTCTCTAGTTCATTTATTCATGAGTCCATTCATTCAACATGCAGGAAGGAGGCTGCTTCTTCAGGGCCACAAAGGAATTAATAGCAACAATAAGCTTCAGAAGAGAGATCAATAAGAAAAATTGGACTTCCCAAGCTTCCCAGGAAGCAAGACCCTATTCGAGAGTTGACTTAGAGTCAGACAAAGTGAAGAACTTTCCTGTCTGTGTTTCCTTGCTGATCGGAGGTGGCAGTGCCGGGGCCCATTTTCACAGGATGTCCTGAGCTCTCTTTTTGAGCTTCATGTCAG